CCCAGCACCAGCAGCAGCAGCAGCAGCAGCAGCAGCAGCAATCCTAGCAGCACCCCGCCTAGTACCCCCAGCACCCCCACTAGCAGCAGCAGCAGCAGCAGCATAAAACAACAGCAGCAGCAGCAGCAGCAGCAGCAGCAGGGTGTCGGGTTAGAGGGTTTATTTAGCATGCATCGCGGCAGGAGGCCGAGCAATCTAATGGAGGCTTTCTCTCCGGGCTACGGCGTCAAAGTGGGTTTGCAGCCGCTCGCTCTCTGGAGCGATCCTTTGCTGCACCCAAGCAATGCTAGAAGGTAATCAACCGCCTCTTGCTGCTGCTCCTGCTCCTGATCCTGCTGCTGCTGCTGCTCCTTGGGCTGCTGCTTTTGCTGCTGCTGCTGGCGGTAGTTGTGCTGTTGCTTCTGCTTCTGCTGCTGCCGGTAGTTGTGCTGCTCCTGCTGCTGCGGGTAGTTGTGGTGCTGCTTTTGCTGGTGCTGCTGCGGGTAGTTGTGCTGCTGCTTCTGCTGCTGGCGGTAGTTGTGCTGCTGCTTCCTCTTCTTCTGTTGCTGCTGGTGGTGCTGGTGGTTCTGTTGCATTTGTCTGTATTGCATGTATTATTTAGTTTAATGATAAGGGTTTATTACGATAAGAGTTGTGCATGCAGATTAAGAAGAGCTTTAAGACTAGAGTCCTTAGGCTTACTTGCAGGAGACCCTCACTGGCGCGAGCGGCTGCTGGTTGACGGATCGCGTTTTCAGACAATTCACATTGGTCATTCAATTCAGGTACATTTTAATCTATTATTTATTAATTATTTATTTATTTTATTTAGTTTATTTAGTTTATTTAGTTTATTTATTTAGTTTATTTAGTTTATTTAGTTTATTTAGTTTATTTAGTTTATTTTGTTTATTTTGTTTATTTTGTTATTAATTAATTAATTCATATATGGGCATTCTCTTCAGGTATCTTAATTTATTAATTTGTTTATTTATTAACTATCTAATTTATTTATTTATTTATTTATTTATTTATTTATTTATTTATTTATTTATTTAATTTATTAGTTTAATTAATTGTCTAATTAATTAATTAATTAATTAATTAATTTATGTAGTTGTTGTATTTGTTTATTTATTGCAATCACATCGGGTATTCTACTCAGGTAATTTGTTCGTCATATAATATATATATATATATATACATAATAGATATATTGATATATATATATATCATATAATATATATTAGATGTATCGGCAGGTTTAGCTAATATATAAACAATTGATTAAATGACGATGTGCAAACCCAAGTAGAAACAACAAAAGAATAATAATAAGAACATAATAATAATAATAATAATAATAACAATAATAATAATAATCATAATAACAATAATAGCAATAATAACAATAATAATAATAACAACAACATAATAATAATAATAACAATAACAATAACAATAATAATAATAACAATAACAATAATAATAACAATAACAACATAGTAACAACAACAATAATAATAATATTATAATTATAATGATAATTATAATTATTAATATTATAATTATTATTATTGTTTGTTGGGTACAGGTTGAGGAAGGAGGCGACGGTACGTATTTGTTGATGTCGCGAAGCAGCGCCAGAGATCATTTGGATCCGGGTGCTGCAGCAGAACAATATGCATTTCTACCTCTGTATTTGTCTCCACTTACTAGCAGCGGCAGCAGCAGCAGCGGCAGCAGCAGCAGCAGCAGCAGCAGCAGCAGCAGCGGCAGCAAAGAAGGAGGCGAAACAAATTATAGAGACAGAGGCGATACATTAAACCCTACTTCACCTATGTACACTTCCTCAGACTCTCTATTAAAGCAAGGGTCTCTATTAATGGGGTCCAAGCAGCAGCAGAATACTATATCTGCTGCTGCTGCTGCTGCTGCTGCTGCTGCTGCAGCCGTAGGAGCCAATAACCTCGCAGCTGCTAGAGCAGGCTGGGCAGCAGCACCATCTCCGCCTGAAGCAGCAGCAGAGCAATCACTTAATGCTGCAGAGCTAGATGATGTGGAGTTGTTTGATGTTCTTAACTGAGGTGCAGCGGCAACAGCAGCAACAACAGCAGCAGCTACAGCAGCAACTGCAGCAGCAGCAGCAGCGCACGCAATTCCAGCGGAAATCCGCTACCGCCTTGTCGGGCGGCTCTAGCTGCTGCTGCTGCTCCTGCTCCCGCTCTTGTTGTAACAAGTGGTGCTGCTGCTGCGGTTCTTTGCTTGCTGAAGCCGCAGCAGCAGCAGCAGCAGTAGCAGCATACGTTGCTGCTCCTGCTGCTGCTGCTGCTTTGCTTCCTTCTTCAGTCTACTCAGTTTGCGCGTCTATGGATTTCAACGCGGTTTGCTACTGCTTCTGTTGCGTCTACAGAAGCAAATGAGCAGCCGATACACCTCGCTCGGGTGTATAGGCAGCTTGTCTTTATTATTTACGCATTTAATATTTCTTTCTGCTGCATGCAGACGCAGAGGCTTCAATCTGCTTCCTTGTGCTTTTGCTCTCTTCATCGCTCTCTTCTTCAGCTGCAACAAACCAAAATAAACTCTCTTTCTTTATTTCTTTTGTTTGCTCTGAACAATGCTCTGTATCCTCAACTATAACAACAAATCACAAACAATTAAGCAAATAATAAAACAAAATATCAATACATACACAAATAAATAAACAAACTAGTAAATATACACATAAACAAACAAACGAATATATAAATAAATAAACAGATTAACAGATGCGGTAGAGCGATAAAGAGATAGATAGATAAAACAGAAGCACTGCACAAAAAAAGCAAACTCTGCTGCCGCTGCTGCTGCTGCTGCTGCTGATTAGGTTTGATAGTTCAACTGCTCTCCCACTAGCCAGCTAGGTAATGTAGCTAGCTAGCTAGCTAGCTAGCTAGTTTATAAGGTCTCGATCTGTTAATGTCTCCGCTTCTTTTCTATTGGCTCTGGAACGAGCGGGTTTGTTGCTGCTGCCTCCACGCATAATGATAAACAAATGTAATAAATAAAATAATAATTATTTATTGTTTATTGATTATTACTTTTATTAATAATATTAATTATTATTTGCTGCTACTTATCAGCCCTATTATTCGTAATCTACTCTATTACTGCCCAATACTATTTACTGCACTTTGCATATTAATAATTATATTTTTTATACCAATGAATAACTTTTTAATATTTATTACAATATCTGTATATACATGCATATAATCTATATATATATATATATATATATATATATGCATACATGGCCGTATATATACGTAATTATAATCC